AACAACAAACGAACAGTTTGGTTGAATAAACAGTTTGTTTTCCAACTTTCATGGAACAGATAGAATCAGCCCAATGCGTTGCAGTTGAATTAACATTTTGCGCAAGACCACTTGGGGGCTGATTAATTGGGCCAACTGCTTTTAAAACTCAACTCCATAACATTCAAAATTTGGGCTTTCCGAGAACCCATATCATTGAGTTGTTTACCTGCCAGGCTACTATGTATTGAATCTAGATTGAGTGAATTAGTTGTTTCAGCGGTATTTTCAAATGAGTTCATCATATTCATAAGCGCACAAGATAAAAAAAAGACATAAACTAGACTGATAAAATGGAGAAGCATTATGATTAGAGATACAAAAGAATCAAACCAAAAGCGAAGCAGTTAATGGCAGCATTTCAGACAGACAAAGAACATGGTCTTCACTAACAATCTTTACTTATATGTTTCTCAAATTAAAAAAAAAGAAGATCATTCGTGCATCCAAGGTACAACAAAACATAGGTGAAGAGCTTAGCACCGGTCCGAAATTGCCATCCTCTCTCACAAAACTCTATATGCTTCGCCTGTTACATATCCAATCCTTGGATAAGTCAGTCATGAAGTCGTTAATGTAATCTTATAAGTATAATGGTTAAGTCATACCCTCTAAGAATATGCGTTTTTTTTGGAGAATAGGAAGCCATATGGCTTTTGGGGTGGCTCAAAACTGGCGCCTTGGAGGCCTAGCCTCAGCTTCCGAGACTCTAATTTGTCTCCCATCCAAATCCTATAAAAAAACATATCAAGACTTGTTTATTTTTACCACATTGTAAAGTGTATATATATTACTATATTAGCAAGAGCCAAGAACAGGAAAGATACTTACAGCACCATTCAAGGTTTGAATAGCATTTTGAACCTCTTGTGCAGAGTTGTAAGTCACAAACCCAAAACCCTTGGATCGACCACTGTCCCTGTCGTAGATGACTCTAGCCTCAACAACTTTCCCTTGCTCCCCGAACAAACTCTCGAGAGCCATATCATCTACTCCCCATGAGAGATTACCGACGTAAACACGGTTTCCTGAACCACCACCACCACCACCACCTCCAAAGCTGCTTCTAGGTCCTCTGGAGAATGAATCTTCCCTCTTTGGTGGAGGAGGACCAGCGTTAACTCTCAATTGTCTACCATCCAACTCCTGCAATTCCAAAAAAAAACACAAAGGTTTCAACATACAAACTTGAAGATTTTTCTTTCATCTAAGAATATTTTTACTTTCCAAGACATAGCATACAGCTTAGTATTAGCATATTATATAACATAACACACTAAGCATACACTTAAGGACCACACAAATGCAAAAAAAAAAAAAAAACACAAACACATACCAACAAGTACGGATACATATATTCATCAGACAAATCATAGTTTTATATACCAACAAAAGAAGCTAAGAGTAAGGTAAAGAGATATGAAATCTTACATAGCCATTGAACTGCTGTTCAGCTGCCTCAACTTCAGAGACAGAAGACATAGTCACGAACCCGAAACCTCTGCTTCTTCCTGTCACCTTGTCTGAGGGTGGCCTCGGACTTCGAAGATTTGCAGTATGGAACACTACTTTAATACTGCGTCTAATCTGGCTGCTCTTTGCAGGAAGTGGATCTTTGTGGGTGGCATGGCATAAGCATCATCATTGTCCTACGTCTTATACCTTTTGGACACAAAGTGAATCACAAGCTCATTCTTGGAACTGGAAGTGTCTGCTAAGACTGCGTCAACTTGCTGCCCAATTTCTTTCTTGCAATATTGGTGATGGGAATCTCGTGAGCTTTTGGTACGACGTCTGGTCACCTATGGGCGTGCTCATTAATTATCTTGGTGAGGATGGACCTCGCAGACTTAGAATTCCCTCCCATGCTACTGTCAAACTCGCCTGCAATAGCAATGGATGGGTGTTACCTTCACCAAGATCAGACGCAGAGGTGTCCCTTCATGCTTTTCTGACCACCATTGACAACCCGTTTCACTCTAATACTGTTGACGAGTTCCAATGGA